CAACAAAGGCTTTTGTACAAAGTATTAGATAAATTTCAGTAAGTGTGTTCAATACTTATTTCTTTGTATGTATGGATCACTTGGGTTGTTACCAACATCTGGTGAAAATTTCATGTCATTAGCACCTCTAGTAATATATTTACTGAGAAAAATGGTGACATGTTCAATACTTATTTTACCCGCTGTACTGAAGGAATGGGATGTCACTTAACCCCAACACTGTCCTTGCTGTGTGCTAACGAAGCTAGCAAGTTAAAAGTCATGGCTGCCTCTTAGGGAGCCAGCCAGGCCACCCACAAACACCACCTAATGACCCCACCCCAATCCCCCCTTCGACCCCCCAACCACCACTTAATCAGGTGGGGGTCAGGAGGACCCCACCACCACACCAAACATGAGTGGGGTTATATGGATGTGAGTCAAGGCAGGTGAGCCAATACTTTTTGCAAAATAGTGTATTTTGAGACCTCGTTTTCTCGGGAAACAGTAGCTGTGTTTTTTATGTGCATTTTGAAGTATTGCATTTGAAAACATTTATGAAAAGTGCAAAATTCAAAAAATCTTTTTTTTTACACTCGCTTGAGGTGGTTTTGGATTTTACCAAAAAGAGTTTATGAAGGGGGATCAGAAACACATTTGTCGATTAAGTTCTGACAGAGAACATTTACCTCACATGATTGATCAACTGTTTCTGTCGGCGTCTTCCTGGATATTCCCATGATTTATGTCTGACGTCAGAAGAACATCAGGAGGCCCAACACACTGTGACATGGATTCAAATGATGAACTGAAGTCATATGTTATTGTTTGCTTTGATGGATTTAGTCTTCACATAATGTGGATGGAAGCAAATTACATTAACTGTGACCCAAAAGTCAATTGTGAACTACTTGCACCAACACCGACATGCACGACTGTTCACAGCAGGAGTGCGTTGGTCAGAAAATGGACATATGTAATTTCACAACTTTTTTTCTCGTATTATGACTTTATTCTCGTAATTTTAAAAAAATCAGGTAGTCTGGTCCTAATAGTCTGTTGTAGTTTTAATACTAAGAGTGATTAACCCTCTACATTATTCCTCAGCTGCGGGACTTGGTCAGCATGTGCATCAACCCTGACCCAGACCAGAGGCCGGACATCATTTTTGTCCTTCAGATCGCCAAACAGATGCACGTGTGGACCTCCAGCACCTGAACGCCTCTCATCGTCTGAGCAACTTAAACCCTTTGATGTTAGCTGCGCCTGATGTTGCAGAAATGTGCCTTAAGCTTCATTTCCAGGAAATAAAAACAAAGATATGCACAGGTAGCAACACCTGTTCTGCACAGGTGTAAGGGAGTACAGTAGTTGAGCAGCACTCAGGAGGTGAGGCTGGGATAACTGTTGCCCACATGAGAGGTGCCTGTTTATTTTCTTTCTTTTACCTGAGAACAAAGAGCTGCATCGTTCTCTGATTCCTGCAAAACTGCACAACTGCTGCATTCCATTCAAACCCTGATTTTTCTTTTAATTTGTGTGTAGTAAATGCTGAGCAGATTAAATGTTCATCTATTACATGTTTTTCTATTCATGTTCCAAATTATGTGTTTTAAATTGACAGTAGGTGGGGTTGACTCTCATTATGAAGGATTTACTGAAAGTATCGACTCTCTTTAACTTGTAGTTTGTTGTAATGAAGGTCAGATGTCACTTTTTTCCTTATTGAAGGATTTGTGTATGAAAGCCTCTCTGTCTATTTTCCTAAAATATCCATTTAAATGTTACAGTATTAGTTTAAAGCCTGTTGATAACATTTATAAAAAGTAATGCTCTTTAAGAAATGAAGTTTGTAAAGTTAGCAAAGATAGTTTTACCTCAAGCAACTGTCTTTATACAAATGTGAGGTGCTGTTAAAAACCCCAGAGAAAAACTAGTAAACATTCCTTATGTAAGGGTAACTGTTATTTTAAAATGTTTTATTTGTTGTTTATAAAATTGCAACACAAAATATATATATATATTTTTAGAACAGTTTTGTGCCTGTTTGTTTTAAGTTGTTACAGTATGACTGTTAATAACTGGCAACATTTACAGAGTGAAGGACCGTAGTGTCTGCTGCAACCCTGCCAAAGATCTTATGAAGACTAGACTTTTCTGTTTCTAATTCTTAGAAACACATTCTGCTGGCCCAGGTGAAGCTAATGCAGCAGCAAGGTCAAAGTCGTTATATCGTGTCCCACCAGAAAGACAGCCATGTCTTCAGATGTACTGGATGCAAGAAGTGCAAGAAGTTCAAATAGATTGTGACTGCATTCATAGGCTGCATTCTAACTCGAGGTTAAAAGAAAATGAGACTTAAAATTTTAAATAAGGGCTTAAACAAAAACGTAACTTTTTGTTTGTTTTCTGTGATTTTTGTGTTTATTTGGGCAAAATGAATAGTTTTTAGTCAGAAACAAAGTGCTCTGAATGCAGCTAAACCACAAAACAGTTGATCCTGACTGGTTCTGTTCAGTCAAATTGTGTCTGGGTGAAACTAGAAGCGTGGCTAGAAGGTATCTCAAGATGCAGACTTTATTTAACCCTTAACATTTTTGCAACATTTGAATATTTACACATTAGATGTGAATTTAATGTTGCATGTTAATAGTATTCCTGTGTGGGATATAGATGGTGTGCAAGCACACAACAAGAGGTGAAGTGTTGATGTCTGAAACACAGAAAAGAAAAACATATTTTTTAAACAAAGCAAGCCAGCTCTTAAACTGATCTAATCTAGACTAACAGTTTTACTAGACCAGATTATTGTGAAGCATCCACCACTCATCCTGTTTAAAAGATTTGTTACTGTGAATCTGTACGCATAGAAGTTGAATTTCCAGAAATGTTCTAATAATACCAGACAGTATGTTTCAAGTTTTTTCTTTAGCGATTTGTAACCTGAGTATAATAAATGTTATCACACACGCAGGTGTGAAAGTGTTTTCTGTCATAACTGCATGCTCACTTACCATCTGCTTCACTGAGCTTTACTCTAAAAGTCTGGATTTAACTACAAGCCTGTTGGATAATTACTGCATGGACGATTATCTTTCAGCTGCAACAAGTTTTTTTTAAGCCCAGCTGGTGCAGTGAGTTGCTTCTCATTTCTTAAACAACCATGTTGAAAGACACATCCTGTGGGAAAAAAAGATGTCAGTCTGTTTGAGCCAGGCAGTGTAGTTTGCTTCTACATGTTCATTTTTTTGCTTCATAATGAAACATTTTGAGTCACCTCGCTGATGTGGTCTGCAACTTACTATGTGCAATTATGAAACTGGACTTGTCCTTCAGTGCAAAGCTGAGATCATTCAACACCTTTTTATTATTTTAGGTCACATTTATGACTAATTCAAAATCAACAATATAGGGTATTTCACCATTAATTAAACATTCAAACATACTTTGTCTAAATTTGCAGTTACTGTAAAGCAAAAGCATTAAATAAATACTATTGTGGAAAATAACTTGATCTGTAAAACTTGATTAATTTAGTAAAGCTTAAAAGGATCCATTGTAAAAGTATAGCATCAAAACTAAAACTTATTTTAAGATATAATCCAGTAGTTTTCCAAATTTGACTCACAACTGAAACACGTTTTACTCAACAATTAAGTACCTACCAATACATCCAAATTATACTTCTGGTTCTTTCATGTTACTGTTGACCTATTTTAGTTCCTTCAGCTGTTTATAGGTAAACAAATTAGGCTAGTTTGCATTTTCACACATACTTTTCTTACAAATTAATTAAATGGCACATTATCCTTTGACAGAACAGATTTGATGGGAACTTGTTGATTTTTGCTGGGTGTTCATGATGTGAGAACATTTAGCATTAGTGATAAACTAGCTGTAATGCATGTTTACTGTTTTTGCTGTCTGTGTATTTAAAGAAAAATACTTGCTAGGAAATAAAATTGGTCTAACAGGATGGAAATGTCCAAATTTTCCTGCAAGAAACTTCTGAGAGCTGTAGATGCTAGAACTTTAACATTTATCCTGTGGTCACACTGCGCTCTCTTGTGGATGACAACAGTACTTTTACAAATTTACAAATTTAACTAGTGGTGGACAGCGCTGATCTAAAAATGAGTTGCACTAACTCAAATATTTAGGTCCCCTAATTCTAATGCACTAATATAAGCCTGTTGCAGGCTACTGTGTGCAGAATATTGTCAGTAACCAATGTCACCTAGTGAATAAGTGACACATTTGAACTAAATGTGTTACAGCTTTCACCCTCAGATGTTAATGTTTATCAGTAACATTTAAACATCTCAGCCAGTGCCTCTAAATTTAGCAAGCGCTAATCCACTGTATTTAACATTTAAAGTAATTTAAAGTATTTCAGTGTAGGTCCATTACAAACTAAATTTACGATTTGCTGTTTTCTAAACTTCATTTGTATTGTATAAACTGAATTATATCAAAATGATTAAAATTTACAAAAAAAACAAATTTTAAATGTTAACTACTTGATAAACAGAAATAATACATTCAGACAGTAAACAGCTTGTTTGGCTCAGACAGGAAGTTGTTTTAGTGTGACTTGTTCTTTTCAGAACACTTTTTATTTGTAACACTTCAACAGAATTAACAGAACCTTCAATTTACAATAACTTTTATTGTAAACCATGGGCAAAAACAATGTCAGGAATTCAAAAAGGGTAATAACGACTTGCACTAAGAAACATTGTGTTAGTAAGTTACGAGGTGTCCATGGTTTGGACAGACTCTTCCACCAGCTCCAGGTTCAGTGGGCTTACAGCCTTCGTCAACACAGCGGTAGTTCCTCTTTTGTACTTGTAATCACCCGTTCTAAACCAGGGAAGAAACCAAAGTCAGTCACACCCAACACAACTCCTTTTAACATTTCTGTAACGCACAACATGCTGCATTTTGCCACTTCATCCTACAGACACAGCCGGACACACGTGTTGTGAAAAGTCAAACTAAGCAGAGCAAAGTTAATAAACTGAGACGAGTTAGTCGCTGCAGCCAAAACGCTCCGTCTGTACTCACAGCTGACAGGCTTCAAACTCATCTAGTCTTCAGGCAGAACAAGCAACAGAGCAGCCAGTCAGTAAACCATGAAGTGATGCAAGGTGAGCAACATCCTCACACATGCTTTATGATGAGACATGACTGCCAATGAGTTCTTAAAATCTTTTTAATAACTCATTGCCTCAAAGGAGAACCACAGAAATCACCTCACATAACTTGAGGAGGAAAAAAAATCTTAATTTTATATTAAAAAAATTTAAATAATTTTTCAATTAATGATTCAATGCAGTAAAAGAAACAAACCTAAAAAGTAAAAGATAATACTTAATTTATTAGATAATACAGTGTTTCTCCTACCATTATGTGATTACATGCAGTGTGCTATAAAGTCATACAGTGGTTTGAACAGATAAATAATTAAATATCAGGTTCTCAGTGGTATTTCAGTTCAAGGGGTGCACACAAATACTTCAAAGAAAATGTGTTAGTAATATCACCACAGCAGATCTCACCTGACTCCCTTCTTGTTGGCCTCATCGTGAGGCCTGATGTAGTCCACATTGCCCTTGGTGATGACACACAGGTCAATGTTGCTGCCAGAGCCCAGGTCGTTAAAGATGCCTGCAGCGATGGCATCACGCACCAGCCCCTTGGCTTCCTCCTCCTTTGGAAAAACAAAGGATGCTCGTGTGAAAAACGGATCTTTACAGAAACTCAGTTTAAAGACAAGGATGCTGAACTGTCCAAAGTGGCTGACTCACCTCCATGTCTGGCTTGTAGCGATCTTCAAACACAGCCATGGCAGCTAAGGAGCCAGAGCCTTTAAAACACAACAAAACATCCTGAGCTTGACATTTGCCATCAGGTTGTTCAAAAAGAACATGTTGTCAAAGCTAGTTGTCATCTTAAAGACAACATGCAGAGCAGAATCTGGACTCTATGGTTCTACCATCAGCACAACTGAGTCAACCCTATTCAGAGTGCTAAACATAGCTCATTACATTTGATGTATTTTAAGTTTTATTAGACTACCGTACATTAAATACCACATCGTTCCTACAATAATCACCCAACACTTTTTTTTCCTGAAAACACAACCAAAGATTTGACAAAATGACATTTTTATTAAATTAAACTTTTTTTTGGTGGTGATAGGAAAAAGTTTGGTTATGTCCAAAAAAAAAAAAAAAACATTCTGTAAATGTGAGCAGCGATTAAATCACACTTATAGATTGTCTTTGGCTACTTTACCATTCTACTAACTAGTAGGGGTGTAAGAAAATATCAATACACTGAAATATCGCGATATTTCATTTCCCGATACTGTATTGATATTCTAAAGCCCTGTATCGATTTTTTTTTATTAAGGTTTAAAATGTCAACTTTCCTGCCAGCCGTTCATTTTTGTGTTGTAGTTCAGCCTCTGACCACTAGTTGGCAGCAGTGAGCCAGCCATTTGGCTCCTCTACTTCTTGAGCTCCAGAGAGTAATGGTGCGTTCACACCAAACGCGATTTCAGCGTCAGGAGCAGCAGGTTTACATACAAAGTCCATGGTGGACGCGCTTCAAGCAACGTCGGGAAGTTCTGCGGCGCCTCAAGCGCGATTAGAGCAGCGCGATTTGAACGATTTGGACGATCTGAGCGTCGAACGCTCAGATCGTCCAAATCGTCCAAATCGCTGAAGTTGGGAAATCTGAACTTTTGCAGCTCGACGCGCAGCGTCAACCAATCAGAGAGACTCCACTGTGTGACGTAGCGACATATTTCCCGACGGGACAGTTTACTGAATGAGGTCCACTAACCTGAAACAGACGGAGCTCCTGCTCTTTAGCTAAAATGAGTGCCTGCAGTCGTGTCCTGATCCGCAGCAATGCGTGGCAGCGACTCATCAGACTGAAAAAAATAGTCCTGAAAGCAGCTGTGAGCCTCTTCTCTGAATTATCTGGTGAATTAATTATGAATTAATTATCTGATGAACGTGACACGTTCTGGCTGTCTGTAAATAAAGCAAAGCCACTTCCTCGTCCGACATTAAACAGAGCCCGACAGAGGACAGAGGAGGGAGGGGCGGGGCGGCTGTCGCCGTGCAGCGCAGATGTCCTGCGTCTGACCTCAAAGTGCACAAGCTTCAAACTTCAGCGTTGGCTGCAATTTTGAAGCTGAAATCGCGTTCGGTGTGAACGCACCATAAGAGAGCATTAGCATTGTRAGTAAACATTAGCTTCATGCTCCGATAGCTGAATCTGAGCAGAAAAGACCGACACCCTCTGCCTTCTAAGCTGAAGTAAGGTTACAAACAGTTACTTATTTGTCAGAATGTCTGTATTTTAAGACAAATTAAGTGTTCTGTGCGCTCTTTTTTTCCAACTGTAGTCAGCTTTCACGTTACGCATATAGCGCATGCGTCTATCACCTCGAGCTCGGCACTCCCCCCGTGACATAAAACTCTGTTGTTCTCAATGTTCGGCTGATGATCGCATCAAAGTCCATATACTTTATCCTGCTGTGTTCGCTTCAAAAACGGTTTAACTCGTTTAGCTTCTAAATTTCTTAACTGGTTTTCTTCGGGACCTGCCCTGCTGTTTGACCCACAGTTATACAAATCATGTTCTGGATGCAGGTCAGCTGATCCCAGAAACACTGTGCAGCAGCTTCATATCATCTGTTTACTGAACTTTATGACAACATAAACGCTGTTGTTAAGTGTTGGGTGATCATATTGTTAATTAATATTGAAAACGAAAAGCTGCAAAAAATATATTTTCAAACTATTTATTGGCAAATTTAGCCTAATAATAGAAAACATGGATGAAATATGAAACAAATAAAATAAAATACATACAAAGCAGAACACAGCTAAATGTATCAAAAGTATGTCTATGTAATATTAGAATTTTCTGAGACAATGAATTTTGGTTATTCTTTTTTTTTTCCCAGTAAGAGGTTTTTATTTAATAGAATTTTTGGACCAAAAATATCGCAATACATCACCTTGTTTACAGTATGGAAACATATCGGGACATATCGTATCATGACCCCTCTGTCATGATATGTATCGTATCACCAAATTCTTGCCATACACAGTCCTACTAACTAGGCATGGGCCGAATACCGGTTTCAAGGTATACTGTGATATGAAAAACTGTTTATTTTTCCTCGGGTCTGTGCCGCTGCAGACTTTCCCCTGCTCACTCCTGCAGCAGACTGCCTGTCGACACTCGCAGCTCTGCAGGGGTTGTGTGATGGTGGCTGAAGAGCAGAGTTCTCCAAACTTTTCCCCTGTCTAAAATAATAAATCCAGCTATTTGAAAATACTTAAGATGCTGTAAAGACGGAGGCAATGTGGACCGTGGAGGCAACACGTCTAACATGATCGCAGCTCCAGGTAAAGTTTCTGCTATCATGAAAGGAACGAGCTAAAGTTAGCATCAGATTGTGAAACATATCACTGTGTTGCTGTGGCTTAATGAACCGATCACAACTTGTCTGCAAAATTGCTTGAGTTGTTGGATTGTGTATTTGATAAGTTTTCAGTGAAAGGTGATAAAACTGAATGCCTCCTTTAGCTGAGCAGCTCGTTAGCTGAACGTGCGGTTCATAAACACACATTCATAGTTGTAATTTCTTATTTCTGTCTGCATAATTATATAATCTTTACGTCAAAAACCCTTTTGAAATTTAAAACAATAAAAACCTCCAACGTGATACATTACTTCAATAAAAAGACTTGTCGTGCAGTATATACTGACTTGTCTTAAATAATAAAGCAATAGAAAAGCAGTTATCTTACTAGATGTAAACTTTATCAGGATAATTTAATTGCATTAGGTGCTAAAAATCAAGTACAGATGCACACAGGTAAATAAAATTTCAGCACAACACCTCTGAGATCTAAAAACAGTTTCCAAAGGTAATTAATGTTGAATATGATAATAGAAAGTTATTTTATTTTATTTTTTTGTTTTTAAATACAAATTTCAAAATAAAATTTTTAGAGCTGTAATCATAATACTGTAATACCATGAAACCGTGATATTTTTGCCCAAGGTTATCATATCATCATAATTTCATACCGTCCCATGCCTACTAGTGTGAGTTTTTGTGGAAATTTGACAGATTTCTTACATCCTAAAACTCATAAAACAGAATTAGAAAAAAAAATCCTGTTTGTCGGTGATGTATCAGTGATTTCCATCATGTGGGAAGGCCTGACCAGAGGTTTATATTCTTCCTTTTAAATATTTCTAAACATCTTCAGGTTTCTGAAATTATTTTTAGAAAACCACATATATACCCTCCTGAGCAAAAAGTTAAGACCAGTTGAAAAAAATGGCAAGGATTCACATTTTGCAGTGTTGCATGGTAAGAAGGTACGGAGCCCGCGGGGGGACATGGGAGATTTATTTTCTTTTGCATTCCCACGCAATAGTATTGCGTTACCTCGCAATACCTTTTGTGTTCCCTCGCAAAAGTAGTTTATCACTGTTGTACCTGCTGGTTTATGAGCAAACTCACATGTTCACCATTAGCGAGTTAGCCTACTGCTTTAATTCAGCTTCAGAATGAATATAGAGTATCACACAGCCACGCATGGAAGTATGTCATATGCCGATATTTGAACACAGTGCAGCCAGGCAACATCATGTCAATTTCACAAACTTGTGGCGACACATCCTGTTTTGGTAACTGGATATTTCAAAATAAAAGTCTGATTTAATTCGGTTCATATACAAAACAATCTTTTGCGTGGGAACGCAAATGTTTTGCGAGGGAATGCAAAAGGAAAAAAAATCCCCCCGTGTCCCCTCGCGGACTCCGTAAGAAGGTTCTAAGTAGGGATTCAAAATGCAAAAATAAGAAATGGGAGCGAGACAAAAGAAAAAAGGTGGGGGCAGGTGGGGTGTTTATGCCATTTGTGTGGCTCACTCATGTATCTGCTCCCTGAAGCAGCACAAATAGTATAAACAGTTTATTTAAAAAAACAAAAAACGAGCAACCAGAACTGAGCCATTTGTTCTGCCCCTCCTTGATCGCTGAGCAGGCAGGCCACCAGGAAATATCCCTGTGCTCAGTCTGCTCAACAGCTCCAATAACTGTGGGCAAGTAAAACCTGGCAGCTCACAAGTAATAATTAGGGTTGGGCATAATCGTGTATCGTATGCAATTAATCGTCAGAAAAACATTAATCGATTAATTTTTGGCACTTGACGATTAATAAGATTCATGCCACCAGGCAGACTAACCGCTTGGTGCTCCTTTCTGATTCAAATATGACCAACATTTAAAAAAAAGTTGTGTAATTTATTTATCTATCAACACAATTTAAAGTTTGATGTACAGCCTGAAGTCTGTAATTTTGACACAATTTGGAACAGATTTTTACGAAGAGCCAATTTTCTCCCTATAAATTGGTCATGTGACTAGTATATATTAGTATTATATTAGTATTAGG